TCACTGACATTTTAATTAGGAAGCAGCACAGTATATCCAAAAGCTTAAGGAAGATACAGGCAACTCTGAACCAGCTCGCGGAAAGGTTCAAGACTCGCTGAAAGACATGAGCAGGCCTTTCCATGAATTCCCTCCTTTTCCCTGGCCTTCCATCTCATCAAAATGCAGAGCTTCGAGAACTTTTCAAAATGAAGCATACTCCCCACTCCTTCCACCTCCCCTTTTATAGTCAGACTACAATCCTTATTCCAAAAATAAATCAGCCTGATGAGAGGCCAGAAAAAGCAAAGCTTAATGGTTTTATACTTTCATTATTTAGTTAAGGGACATTCGTTGGACAGATTTATCATCACATTTTTACAAATTCCCCACTGAATAAATAATTCTAGGATATGCCGAAATTACTCTGGCCTTCTGACCCAACATGTCTTTGTAATTACTTGGCACTCCAACTGTATGCTACTTAAATTAGGTAACAGTCATCAAGTTATTTTTAGGCCATAGCAACACACACACACACACGCACACACACGGCTGTACCTAACTTGTTATTTGCACTCCTTTGGAAGAAAGGCCAAAACTCCAGTTTTACTGACACCATCATTTCTGTTCAACCAACAGTAATACTACTGGGCTACATGGAGTGAGAGCTCACTCTGTATGAGGAGCTGTTCTAGACACTTTGTACACATTAATTCATTTATTACCTAACCTACTACCAGGAGAGTGCCGCTGTTACATCCTTTTTGTAAATAAGGAAAATAAGGACGTAAGGGAAGTAGCCACTGGCCAAGGGCACATAGCTAGCAAGGCGTGAGCCAAGACGAGAGCTCAGACAGGCTGGTCCCCTGCTCTTGCCCGAATCTCTCCACCATTTGCTACACAGCTAACATTCAGCATGTCTGGATGTTAAACAGAAGCTCAGAATCACAACAGTAAGCCTGTGAATATAGATTATGCTTTTGTTTCGCATATCTTAAAAAAAAAAAAATCCTCCTAACATCCCTGACGGACAAGAGGAAGACTTTTGTTTCTCCCACAAAACAATGCAGAAGAGAAAACATATTTCCTCAGGGGTCTCTGATGTCTAAGCACAGCCCTTCACTTTGTCAGACTCAGTACTGCCTACAAGTATTGACTTCAGAGCCCTTTGTGACTATGGGAAGATGTGCCATTTATGTTACTCACTTCAGAAGTTTTGATGGAAAGTTTTCTAGCATAAAAAGTTACCTCTCTATGTGATCAAATCTTTGCTACTGAATCAGCTTCCTGAAGTGGTACTCACTCATCCCCCGCCAGCCCTCCCCCCAATAAATACTGCTGACTCAGAGGCAGGCCTGCCAGTCACTCTTTGTTTAGTGACAGCACAGAGCAAGTACAGGTATGAGACCTGATAGACTCCTGTGGAAGAGGACGCTATAGATCCCTCCCAGTCTGGGGGAGTAGGGGGGTATTGGTGGGGTGGGGGGTACTCCCATAGATTCAGTTAGTCAAAGTGGAATTCCAAGTTTGAGAAAGTCAACAACGGGAATATGACACCAATATTTAGGAGTGAAAATGTTGTCCGTACTGTACTATAAAATATGCCCATCCTTCTTAATTTGAAAACATTAAGTTTAAACATGAAACATACTGAAATATAGTCAAACATTATCTATATTCTAATATATTTCAACAGCCAATAAAGGAAGAGAAAGCAGAGAGGGAAAACATTAACAATTGTTTAATCTGGGTACTAGGTATATGGTGATCATGATACTCTTTTCTATGTTTCTCTGTATTTGAAAACTTTTATAATAAAACTTTTAAAGGCACAGACTGTCTTTAAAGAGGAGGTGATAATAGACTATCCATTCCTACATAGGTAAATGACAAATTACTTCCCCAAACTCAGCCTTGCTGAAAAGAAAGGGAACCTTATAAACATCATAGCAAAGATGGTAGCTCTCGTTATGGAAAACCCAGAACCATCTATCCTCCTTATTCAGCTGGGTACAAAATCACATTAATAATCAACTTTGTGTGAAACAGATTACAATCCTTTCAAAACCTTTGTAAGTCTCTACACATGTAGGCATTTGACTCATGGTTTGCCAGGTGGAACAGAAGCACAGGTCTGATACCATTTCTTCTTTGGAGGATGAGAATAAAATATGAATTCAGACGTAGGTCACAACGGGGAGGGGACTGTAAGTTAGAGCAGTCACTTAATCCTGGGGGCTTCTGCGCCTATCATCAGTTTCCTCCCAGCCTGACACAGCACTACTAAAACAGTGTCTGAGCGGCCGCTTGGCTTGACAGGCAGCACCAAAAATGGAGAACATGGCACTCAAACAGGGGGACATAAAACTTGGACGGGGAGGGTAGCAACCAGTGTTTACAAACACAAACCAGAGAATCAGAGGGGTCAGCCATCAATTAACACGAGATTGGACTGAAATCTCTGAAAATGAATTCCTGAAGCCTTAGAAGCATCTACCTCGGAAGCTAACCAACTCCCACCCCCTATCCCTGCCACATCTTCCCTGCGAAAACCACTCCTTCCAAAATGGTACCTCTACTACTCTTGCTAAAATAAAATCTTACATCACCAAGGGTGGGGATTACTAAAATAAACCTCAGCAGAAAAGCCAGATCAGAATGGTCTGATAGACCCACTCAAGAACCTAGGCGAAGTTGCTGGCCATGCTTTCTCAGAGGTACCCACCCCACTTTCACCTCAGTGGTGTTATGGTATTAACCTTTGGTTTACCCAGATGAAAGGGCAGCTAGAAGGGCATTCTAATATTGATCTATTTCCCTTCTTTATCATCATGGCCCCAATTTTAGGCCATTCCCCCGCAAAGAGACCAAAATCACAATGACAAAAATAATTAATAAAGTACATTACAGATCCTTCTGCTCCCAAACTACATATCTTCAACAAGGTTCCCAGATATTTGAAGAAAGAGCCCAAACTACAAATAATACAACCTCTACCACCAGTGCGACTTCCAGGTCGACTGCCGCTGTGTCTCACCAACCCGAAAATGATGAGCCCTGTTGGCGGTGGTGGCGGCAGGCGCCCAGCGGTGACATCAGCAGCATGTCTGGCCCCGCCCCATTGAGGCAACCCTACTGACACTGAGGAACAAGCCCAGGCTGCCTGGGCTCTCCGCTGCATCCACAGGAAATGGGGAGAGGAACCCCACTTTGATCAGCAACACCTAGGAGATTCATTTCCCAGCAACTGACAAGCCACCCCCATACACAATAATGCCCACTTCAAAGTAGAGGGTAGAATCTACAGCTCCTCCTTAACACTCTCAATATTTAAGTCCAGGGTCATCTTCATGTGGATTATTTGATGCCTGTTCTCAGATCATTTGGACACAAAAGGCCTGCTTTCCCTCAACGGCATCTACTCTACATGAGCGAGAGACCACCCTGAAGATCACTCCATTGGTTCTCCACTTCTTGGCTCCCCAATACAAACTCTTACAAATGAGAAGTTTGTAGAGTTTATTTTCTCATCTGAAAAAGATGAGACAAGCCAGGATCACAGAGACAGAACACTAGCTGAGTAAACCTACTGGGAATCATGCAAAGTCAGCCAAACAAGAATACAAAACGACAAAATACAAGGATACACAGAGGAAATATGAGCATATCAGTAACCACAAGAAAACCCATTGAAAACAATATAAAATGCCTGGGTGCTTCTGGAACACTCTGGATGTAACTTCCATGATGTTCTCCTTCTGCTGAGAGCCCACCAGCCCTTCCTTAAGGGAAGCTGTACCTTTGTGCTAGTTGAGCCCAATAAGAGTAGGCTCGAGGCCAGTGAGGGTGGGCAGGGGAGATGATGTCCAAGAAATTTAGAAATGGATTTCTAAGAACACTCCTCAACAAAAGGCAGAATGCACCATTGGCAAGACAAGAAGAATGGCAGAACTAGCCCACGACGGAAAACCAACTACCCTGCTCATTCTAATGGCCTGTTGCAATTTAAATATGCAAGGTGTTTAAAGGAACCCAGTGATGCCTTTGGCCTACACAGTGCAGGAGACTGGCTACCAATGTGGCCCAGACTGTGTGCCTTGACTCAACACGCAAGGAAAGAGAAGAAAGAAGATGACTGTCTCTCACTACCACCATCACTGCCACTGCATCCAAGGGCAAAGAGGCACATCTGGGAGGGACAGGGGATGCAGACTCCCTCTAGGTTAGGCAACGCTGTGCAGAAGGAGCCCAGAGATGGGTGGGCAATTAATTCCTCCTGCCAGGGCTCGGTGACACTGACATCCCAGTTATTCACGCTCAGTGTCCTGGGGCAAGTGACCCACCACCCCATCTTGGAAAGAGCTATGATGGCAACGGTTGTCAGGTGACACCAGAAGAAACAGCGTGTTGGGGAGTATTTCATAAAAATGACTCTTTCCCTTGGAGTTTTGGCAATGGAACGGATGTTTGGGGTGAACTCTCTAAGAGGTCCTAAAATAAGGATCTCTGCCCTTTTTGAAGGTCACTTTCAGAGAGGTGAGAAAGAGGAAGAATTTCCCACAGAAAGAACTGGGTACCTGGAGGTTTACTTGCAGTTCACCACAGTTGCGGTTTTCTCCGTTCCATCAGCTTTGGTTACGTCTGAGAGACAAGAAATTTCCAGCTAGTTTGAATGGAACAGAGGTACCAGACCAGGCATGACTGCAGATGCCATTTGGTATCATAGAGCCCCTTTTTAGAAAGATGAGAAAACCATCTCCGAGAGGGGGAAATGACTTGCACAATGCAAATGAGAAGGTAAATTAAAGACTAGAGCCCAAATCTTCTGGCTTTCAGTTCAAGGTTGCTGGGTTTCTCTCCCAACCCCAAAATAATTAAGAGAGGGCACGGAAGGGAAGATAAGAAGAAGAAAGGCAATTCTGGTCTTTTGCAGCCAGCGGAAGGAAGATGCTGGTACTTCTCAGAGAAAACCCAGGGTGACCCCAGGGCTGTGCTTGGGGAAGGGGTGGGGGCATTACCTTTCAACACCAGAGGTTCTTTGCCTTCTCTCTTCAGAGACTCGAGGACTATGTGGAGTGGCTGGGAGGGTACCACTCGGCTCGGCTCATTGGTATTCTCATCGTAAACTATAATTTCTTTGGAAAAGATCCTCTTGAAAGAGTCCTTGCCTTCCCTACAGGAAATCAAGTCTAAGACAGTGATCTTGCCCTGCTGCAGTCTCCGCCGGCTGATCTTATCGGCACAGTTAATGTGGACAGCTCCTTGGATGTGACTCTTGTTGTACTCCATGAAGGGCCGGCAGTCAATGATGACAGGGCCCTGGCTCGGCAGGTGACTCTTGCTGCATTTGGTCATCTTCTTGGCCAAGTCACTGGGGTAGATTATTTTGATGCTGGCTAGCTGTTTGGGGGTCCCTGCCACAGGGCTGCCCACCCCACCTGATGGACTTAGAGAGCCTGCATTCTCACTGTTGTTGACCATCTGGCTGGCAGGACAGGTGGCAGAGCTTCCGATGGCGGTGGTGGCAGTGCCAGAGGCAATGGCCTGGGTTGGGGCCTGATTGTCCTTGTCGTAGGTTGCCACAGTGCAGCAGCTGGCACTGCTGCACCCACAATTCAGGGAGCGGGCAGAGCCGCTGGATGAGGGCATATACGTCAGATTCGCAGCCTTTAGGGACACAACGGTGGTGGCGATGACAGGAGGGTGGCTGGTACTGCCGGGGGTGGCAGAGCCAAGGTAGCTAGAGTCTAAACAAAGGTTGAGATCCTGAGGTCGAACGGGCCTAGACAGTGCCACCACTACCCTGTCGTCTAAAGGAGACGGAGGCATGAGGAGGCTGAAAACTGGCAATTCAAGAAGAACTCAAGACAGTCTGCAAAGAAGGGGAGGGGGGAAAGAAAGAATAAAGTCATGTGACACAAAAAGCAGTCGAATCCAATCCCTAGGAAAGGACTTTGCATCCCTCTTAGTGAAGTCGTCCTAAGTGCCCAGTATCCTGTCACTCAAAGCTTGGCTCTCACCACTAGGGATTCGAAGAGGATGCATGCCTGAGGACCACCCCCCTCCCCAACCCCTGTCCTTGCTGAGTCTAAGGTTAGATGTAAAGGCTATGCAAATGTTGATGAACAACCATTCATGGACCCACATCCAAGTTCAGCCTTAGAAAAAGTACAAGCACAAAGGATCAGAAAAGCTCAAGATGGAAGGGAAGGTTCTTAAGAGGCATCTCTTCTGGGCCTCATCTCCAGGGCAGAAGTATACTGCAACCATCTGAGAAGGACCCATACGTCCACCCTTGCATACTTTCCATGTAATTCCTTCAGCCACTGCAAAGGCAAAGGAATGACCAAGAGTGCTGGCAAGGCTCATGGGAATATACAGCAGCTAAATATACATCAGGGGCAGATGTCAACTTTCTGCATATCAGAATGAAAGTAGCCCTCTAAGTGAATCTCTTTAAGTTTGAGCTATTCTTACTTTTCTTTCTCCCAAGTCCTTTGAAAAGCACAACAGAGTCATATTAAAACTTCCCATGTTTCCTATTGCCCTCTTATTTATAAATTTAATCTGCATTTCCTCTTTCATTACATACTGATCCTCTAAAACGAAGCCTTAAGCTAGGGAGGGAGGTCTGAAAACCCCAATCCTGACAGATCCATCCCTCAGATGGCTCCCTTGCCGCACCACCCGCTCCACTCCTGCCTTTAAGGAAAGGACCACTTCAACTCTCCATTCTCCACCTTTCCCTACAGGAACATCCTAGAGCTTCTCTCAGCAGAAGGCAGCCACTATGCATAATCTTTTGATCTCACACAGATGTGCCCCCTCTTCAAGAGGATGGATTCATAAAGAAGACTTCCCGGTGAGAAGTAAAGAGTTGCCCACAGGGGTCTATGTCCTGTTTCATGAGAGGGTACCAGCAAAGGGACAGTGCCATCCTTCCCATAGTCATAAAGGCACTCCACTCCTGGGCCCTGCCGGCTCTTCTCCTACTAGACATACACACAGAGGAGAAACCAAACGCCATGCAAGAGCTCGTCTAAACCAACTTTAAGAGATGTCTGGAAAAATGTCATCCAACATCCGTCTACACACGACTGTCACCATTCTCAGACAGAGCCAAAATGTCACAGGCAGAATACATACACACACACACACACACACACGCACGCACGCACGCACGCACCTATCACATCCACAGATCCCCACCGACTCAGCTTTCTCTCACCACCTTTGAATGGGCAAGAAGAATCCAACCCCTGTTCTCCCTCCCTTTCTCCTTTCTTCCCTACCTCCCTTCCCCTCCCCTTCCTCCCTTGCGTAGTATTTTTTGAAGAGCGAGTACTATTCCAGAAGCTATAACTGTTTCCCAGCTGGACCCAGCGGTGAAAAGTCTTTGCTATTGTGTTACCTGGTAGGATAGGTCCCAGGATCAACAGTCCATTTCCCTTGAGAGGGACGCAGAAGCGTGCTCGCGGAGACACAAGCTGGGACCCCCACCTCCACACAGAGTGCGCGGAGCGCACACACGCTCTCTCTCTCTCTCTCTCTCACACACACACACACACACACGCACGCACGGAGTGTATAAAGAGACCTGCATCCCTGCAGCAGAGGGTCGGGCGTTTATATTGCCCGTGAAACCATCCAGACAGCCTAGGAAACCTCCCCGAAAAACACTGAGCTATCCCCCTCCCACTCTAGTCCTTCTTCCACCTCTAGTCAGCGGCTGGAAAGAAAATTAAGTGGTCAGAGAATGCTGCTTCCCCACTCCGGGGCACTTAACATCCTTCGCAACACAGCGCACTAACAAGTCCCTGGCCTTTAAAACTGCCGCAAAGCATCCCAACAAACCTCATTTTTTCCTTCGTCCCCAATCCAAGTAGACTGCAGAGAGAGTAAACGCACAGGGCGGCGTGAGCCAACAGCGGGAACACTTTAACCTCACCTGCTGTGGCTCCTCCGTAAACATCGCAACACACACGCGCGCAGACACACACCACACACATACTCACACTCACACCGCCTCACACCCCTGGACTCTCAGGAGTAGCCACAGTGACTTCCACTTACTTCATAAATAAGTGTAACCCTCCACCATCTGGCGCTCCACTTCAGCAAGGGATTCGCACATTCAGCCCTCATTCACTAGGCTTCATTGATCTCCAGCAGCAACATAGTTACTTTCTCTTTTGCTACACTGTAAATGTAAGGTTCTGAGGGGGCGGGCCGGCTGCCGACCGACGGCAGGTTGAACCAATAGGAATCCAGAGAAACCTGACCGCTACTTCACTGATGCTCGCGGCCAATGGGCACCTGGAGGGGGCGGAGCCGGGGCGTGGCCATGGCTCTTTAAGGAGGGTTTATCCGACGCCGCTTTGGGTCCACAGTGTTATAATACGGGCGGTGATGTCATTGGCAACCAATCAAAAACTTAAAAGGGCCAACTGGGGCCCGCGCGGAGCAGCTGCTCTCTATTTACATGTAAACCGAACCTGCAGGATGCAGTTAACCCTTTCCGGGGCTGAATTGTCAATGGGCTGTGTTTGCCGCTCAGCGTAAAACTGGCTCTGCCCTCTTGGCGGGATCCCTCTACATCCCCTCACCAAGGGACAGACCACGCTATTTATTTTTCCTTCTTACTGGCTGGCTGATCAACCGTGTTAGAATAACTTTCCAAAGGCAAGAGGCAACGAGAATAATCACTATCCCCAGTTGGAAAAACAGGTTCCCTGAGTCCCTCGAGGTGACTTGATAAACCGAAGATTCACGGACGTCGCCCAGCTACCCGAGCGAGGCCATGAATGTAAGCGCGCGGCCAGGGACGTCGCTTCTTCTACAGTCTAGGCCCGGGGCCACGCGCTGGAGGCCTGGGCTCCAGTGGGACTGGCAAGTCTGCCGTCCATTCACCCGCAGTGAGGCCCGCCAGCCTCGCCGCGGCCCGAGTCCTCGGGGCCGCCCCGCTTGCTCCGCGCCGCCAGGAAGCATCGACCGCCCGCCCGCAGATGTCGCTGCCCCTCCGACTGCCCTACTGCTGCCCGGCTCGGAGGTGGCGCGGCGCCCTGTGGCTCGCCTACTTCACCGCCTCAGTCACGCCCCCGCTTCCCTCGCCTGCCTCCCGGGCCTCCACCCGTAGCTCGAAGGCAGCGCTGCGGAGGGCTGCTCGGAGGCGGCAGCCTGGTTCCCAGCCAAAAGCTACAGAGGGCGCGCCCCCGAGGGGCTGCCCAGGCACCGCCCCATAGCCGGGGCGTCCTGGGGCTCGCCGCGCGCCCGCTCCGGCACCCGGGCAAGGCCTCCTGCCCGCTAGCGCCCCCTCTTCCACCCAGCGAGTAAGGTCCCCGCGCCGCGCTCCGCAGAGCTGCGCGCTGCCGGCCCGAGGCTCGCCTTCCCCTCGCCCCTCCACAGCTGCCCGCCGCCCTGTAGGGCCCCTGGGAGCCGAGGACCCAACAGCCCGGAGCTTCTGGAACAGCAGCTGCTGGAGGAAGGGAGCTGGAGCTGAGAAGAAATAACCAGCTTGAGTGGGGCCGACGGAGAACTGGAGGCGGCGGCGCCGCCCCTCTGGGTTCTCCTGATTTTCGTCGCCGGAGGGGTCGCGGGCAGAGGCGACCATCTGAGCAAAGAGGGGATTTGGAGGAGGGTGTGTTGCCAGCTGTCCTGTTCGTCGTCAGGAAATATCAGAGAAACTGCGGGAAAGTCTTGGGGTAGGAAAAGAAGTGGAGATGATGAGATAAACTGCAGAGAGTTTGCATCAAGGAACCCTAAAGAAATAGAGCTTTTTTTCGTTTTCCTCCGTCTCCTGTCTGAGAGAGGCAGGGGTGAAAGAGTGAAATAATTACAGTGGAGTAATATGTTCTGAGCACTATAGACTATTTTGTTATGATCTTTTTCTCTTACCAGATTGAAGGTGTCTGGAGACATACTTCAGGTTGCAAGCCTGATAGGCAAGCTAAGTGACGTGGGGACATATTCACGTCACTGCTTTAAGTAAGTACAGACCTGAAATTTGAAGATGCCAAACCTTGGCCTGCTGGCCAGCTATGTTCAGTGAGCTGAGAGATCCCGTATATACATATGCACGCAGTCTAGGCTTCTCAGCAGTGTTTCAAACTGAAGTGAATGCATGCAATCATCTTAAACAGGAAAGGATTTTTGTAGCCCTCCTCTCCACTCACACACTAACACCCATACACATTACCCTTTAATGATAACCAGTGACTGGCTTGGAGACACCATTTAGTCCTTACATTTTTAGGGATCAGCAGATCCTGGCCAAGAAAGGTGGGTTCTGGGTAATTTCCACAGAAATCAGAAAAGAACTTCCCAGAGGCTCTAACCCTGGATCTATTTGCAGCTTTAATAACTTGCCTTTTCCTAACTGTAGATAATTATTGAAAAAATATTGACTAATCCCGGGTTGGAGAGTTCTAACTATAAGTCTTGATTCTGACTCTCATCTCTTATACTGTTCATCCAGAAACACTATGTTTATTTATATGTCTGTAAAATAGCAAAACTCCAGCTCAAAAGAAAAGGAAAAAGTTCCAGTGTAAGCGCTTTGGTGGTGGGAAGTGGGGAGGTAGTGGGAGTGGGGGGAAAGGTGAGGGGGGAGAGGTTCTCTGCAGATCAAGGGCATTCAGTAAAAAAGTATTGTCTTTGCTTCAGGAAATGCTGTGCCTCTAGTTAAAGATACTCACCATCTGTAAGTTATGAATTCATTGCTGACACCTCAGTATCTAAGTCCAAACAAAGCAGGAATTTATGCAATTGAGGAATACTTCTTAACAGCCTTTCTACAAAGCCCAGAGGGGAAAGTAACTTCAAAAGGAAAGCAGTTCATTTAATGAGATGATTATTTTATTATAGTTTCAAACTAGTGAATTATTATAATTTAGTTGGCTAAGAATCTAAGCCAGTTCTACTGAAAAATTGGGAAAGATGGCAAAATTCCTCATCAGTTATCAAGTCTAAAACTTGGAATAAACATGTCATTAACATATACACAGATGTAATTATTTTTTAAATTAAGCATCTCTAAGTGTATAATTTATATTCAAATTATAGTGGTAGGAAAAAAGACAGATTCTTTTGTACAAAAAAGAGTTTATTTTGTTCCCTTTTTTGAGTCATAAATGAGGGAATAGTATCTGAAGTACTACCCTTATATTTAAATTAGTAATATCAGCCAACCAGTGACTGTGAACCTGATCTGTATACAAATATCCGGCAAAGCCTTAATGTTCAATTTTAGTCCCAAAGAAATAGTGATGCATCTTCACTGCATTTGAGTGTTCTAACATGATTGTACTGAGCTGTATCTTTGTTCCGACAAACAAACATTGTGAGAAAAATAGGATTTCCTTCAATGCATAGCACTGTGTTAAAGCAAGAAGGTGAAGCTAACTTAAGCCAGAATATAAGACATAATATGGATAATATCGAAAAATGTATTAAGGGACTTCCCTGGTGGTCCAGTGGTTAAGACTGCACACTTTCACTGCAGGGAACACAAGTTTTATCCCTGGTGGGGAACTAAGGTCGAAAATGCTGTAAGGCTTGACCAAAAGGAAAAAGGGATGTATTAATTAAATGATGGCTTTTATGTGCACACAAATGGTTAAGTGTGTGGGATGATGGCAGAGGGTTGGGACTGGTGAGAGTTAGCTTTTCAAAATACTCAAGGTTGAAGTGGATTCCTGAAGATACTAGAATTAAGGCAGAGAAAGGCTTAGAGAACATTTAGAAACAGAAAACTGCAGGATAAAGGTGACGTTAAATCAATAGGCAGTGGGGGATGAGCAGTGGGATAGAAAAGTGAGGTGATGAGCAGATGAAGCTATTGAGACCAGCCTGTTGAAATATCCTATGACATTTCTAGGCCTTGAGGAAGGCTAAGGAGAAGGATCCCCTGAAAGAGTGAGCCACCGCAGTGCTTATGGGGGCAACAGAAACAGAGAAGTCCCGTCTACACTTTTCACTGTCTCTGAGTTTTGAACACAGGAGGCCTGCAGATCTTTCTCATTAAATTCACAGGTAAAATGCAGTTTGGGGCTTCCCTGGTGGCTCGGTGGTAAAGAACCCACCTGACAATGCAGGAGACCTGGGTTTGATCACTGGATTGGGAAGATCCCCTGGAGAAGGAAATGGCAACCCACTCTAGTATTCTTGCCTGGGAAATCCCATGGACAGAGGAGCCTAGCGGGCTACAGTCTGTGGGGTCCCAAAAGAGTCAGATACGACCTAGCAACTAAAACAATGACTAAGTGCACTTGGGACTCAGGAAAAGGTTCTGAGGCACTGAAGTTTCTTTATCTGCTTGTACTAGTGTGATAGCCGCTTGCTGCATGTGACTGTTGAACACTTGAAATGTGACAAATCTGATTTGAGATGTGGTCTAAGTTTACACTGGATTTTGAAAACTTCGTATAAAAAATGTAAAATATCTCTGTTACTTTTATGTCCATTATGTACTGAATTGTCTATAATTTGAATATATGAGTTAAATAAAATATGCTAATAAAATTCATTTTACATATTTCTTTTTTCTTCTTGCTGCTGCTGCTAAGTCACTTCAGTCGTGTCCAACTCTGTGCAACCCCGTAGACGGCAGCCCACCAGGCTCCCCCGTCCCTGGGATTCTCCAGGCAAGAACACTGGAGTGGGTTGCCATTTCCTTCTCCAATGCATGAAAGTGAAAAGTGAAAGTGAAGTTGTTCAGTCGTGTCTGACTCTTAGCGACCCCATGGCCTGCAGCCTACCAGGCTCCTTTGTCCATGGGATTTTCCAGGCAAGAGTACTGGAGTGGGGTGCCATTGCCTTCTCCTTTTCTTCTTAGAATATGACTGTTAGAAGATGTTCAATGACTTATGCCATTTACATATTTCTATTGGACAGTGCTCTTCTAGAACCTGAAATGGCTCCTTTGATTTGAGGTCCCTTTGGTGCCAAAAGCACCAGAGCCACAGAGCTAGGTCGAACATTGACCTGGAGGGGACTTGAGAGCTTATCTAGGCCAGTGGTTTTCAAACTGTGTTAGGATGAGCTAGAGGGAGAAGGGATGTGATGCAACTGGGGGTGACTAAATCCAAGGCAGCAGAGAGCTGGTGGAGTTCTAAGACCAACCCCATCCCCACTGCTCCTTTCTTAAGATGTATCTACATATATTACTCCTGAAACTCCAAAGTAAGATTTCACTGGAAGGAAACTGGCTATTTTATTTGTTCTTTCTTTCTTTCTTTTTTAATCCTGGTCCATTGTTTTACCTGCAAGCCAATCTGAGGCCCAGTGAATGCAGAGGGCAGGGCCCAACGCCAGGCTTGACATCAGCCCTCATTTCAAAGTCCAGCCTGGCAGTAGAGAAGGTGACCAACCTGTTGACTTGGGGGTTAAGAAACTCTCAATCCCAGGGACAGAGGAGCCAGGCGGGCCACCACCCATGGGGTCGCAAAAGAGTCAGGCAAGACTTAGGGACTAAACAACAACTGTCTCAGCTGCAGTGAGAAATGCCCTTTCTGCAGTTAGTTATTCCCCCCCCCCCCGACGCCCCACACCATCTGTGGTCTCACACATGCCTCCTGTTCTTTTTCAAGAGGGTTCTGACTAGGTCCAAGTGTGTGGATCTCGACACCAACTTATTTCCTTGTGAAAATAACAAACACTAACTCATTGGCCCTAGGTCTGTGGCAATGCCTTGCTCTGCAGTGGATGGCTTATTATTATTATGTGTTGCTACATCAAAAACGTACCATTTTCTCCTTTGCCAAACTGAGCAATCATTCTCTCATTAAGCAATGCCGTCAGGCCCAGAGGCCTTCAGCCGCAGGAGGCCGTGTCAGGCTGTGCTGTGCATATTGTGGGAAGCAAAGATAAGAGATAAACAGACACCTTTAGCTTTCTTAAACCCCCTTAGGACTTGTTGCAGGTCTAGCATGAAGGAATTAATCTAACCTTCTCAGCATCGCCTAGTGGATTAAGACAGTACCACTTCTGGATCCTACAGTTCCCTTTAGGTTACGGACTGTGTCTTGAGCTTTACGTCCTTCACAATCAAACATTGATTAAACTGATTCTAAGGAGAAAAAAATAATAGCAGGCAACATTTCTTAGTGTTTTGCTTTGTCCCATGCACTGTTGAAAGAGATTCACAGACGTGAACTCATTTCAATCTTCATATCCGTATGGATGCTGTAAGTAGGTTACTTTTATTAGCCTTACTTGAAAGATGAAGAAACAGAAATACAGACGGATTAAGTCATCTGCCCCAAGTCACACAGCTGGAAAGCAGCAGAGGCAACATTTGAACCCAGACAATCCGGCCCCAGAGCATCTGCTTTTAACAATTCTGTCATTTAATTCACGGTCTCTATGATTTTATAAACTTCTATCACATCCCCCTCAGCCTCCAGCTGCCAGGCTATTTTTAATTATCTCTTTGGAAGAATTCACTGTTCTGCTTTCTCCGGAACTGCCCAGAGTCCACTATGTCTCGTGTGGTCTCTCTCACCACTGTATCCTCCATGCTTGGGACCTATTAAACTTCTACTCCATTTCCAAAATCCTGTCAAATAGTGCCGTAAACTTGTCAGTGCTAGGGTTTCACTGCAGACTCGACTGGCAGATTCAAGGAAAGGCCAATGACTTCTCCTTTGCCAACCACGTCTTGTTGCTGTCCCATCCCTAACATAGGACAGGAGCCAGCATAGGGTGAGCGCAGAAGCTCCATTGAATAAATGAATGAGTGAGTCAGCAAATGAATGAATGAATGAACGAATAGCATTTTTCTTATATGCACCATGAATTGTTGGGTTTTTTTAGCTACATATCCGGGTTCATCTGACACTTTTCTAATTACTCATTTTGCCTTCTCCCTGATAGTTGAAACTTGAGGGGCCTCCCCTAAATTCAATCCTCTCCTGAATAATTCATGCAGATGTTAATCGAGCACCTGTCTTTGGGGATCCCTGTTGTTTACACATCATTCTTGCTTGTTTGTTACCATATTATCCCATTTACAGTTTAAATCCAGTTTCTTTTCCGCTAGCATCTATGAAAGTATCAGCTTTCTCATTATAATCCACACAATAGTTGTAGTTTTGCATTTGCCAGCACTATTGACATTATGTTCATCTTCCACACTTAGGAAAATATCCCTCATTATTTTCACTGTTTCAACAGAATGAAGGTATCTTCACTTTCCCTTTTAACATCTTCTGTTTTAGAGTATTCGAGGCATTTGTTTTCTTATGTTCAGCTTCCCAACTGAGGGCTTTGTTGTTGTTGTTTAGTCACTAAGTTATGTCCAGCTCTTTTGTGACCTCATGGACTGTAGCCCCCCAAGCTCTTCTGTCCATGGGATTTCCCAGGCAAGAATCCTGGAGCAGGTTGCCTTTTCCTCCTCCAGGGTATCTTCCCAACCCAGGGATCAAAGCTCTATCTCCTGCATTGAGAGGTGGATTCTTCACCACTGAGCCACTAGGAAGCCCAACAGAGGGCTTGGCCAGTGTTTATTGTCCAACATGTGACCGATGTCAATAAACAGCCTTTTCCAGACAGAGGCATTTCATCAAGACCTGTGCCTGGAAACTACGTTTTTCATGTTCCTGGGAGTTGGGTGATGTGCTTTGAGAGGAAATTCTCCTCTCTATTCTGGGCAAGATAGGGAGCAGCACTCCAAGAAGCCCTGTTTCCATTGTTCTGTGATGGAGGCCGTTGGCCCACTAGACTTCCTACCTAGGCAGAATGTTCAGTGAGGTCCCCTGATTTATGTGATTGATAAAACAACCACTTTAGAACTGCACTCTTGGCTTTCGAGGGCCAAGAATGTACAAATGTGGTGGATGAGTCCCTTTATGGGTGAATTTAAGTATTCTCTGTATGCTGAGTAGTGGGCCTGCAGTACCACCCCTAGCATATAGTAGGTGCTCAAATGAATTCAAGTCAGGTCAAGTCAAGTCACTTCAAGGTGTTAAACAGGTAAGAGAAAAGTCTCTATTGGAATTGATGACATTTTTAGTTCAAGTTGGAATCTTTAAGATGGATGAATGGATGCCATAAACTTTCAGCTCACAAAAATTCAGAATTTTAAGAGAGAGAGATTGGATCAAAGAGTGGCCAAATGGAGTGCTAGAGCTTATTTCATTCAACTATTGATGTATGGATCAACCTGTGACATAGTGGGTATGGATGAACCAACAACTGTCTCCCCTCTCTTTCAGGTCAGTTCAGTTCAGTTGCTCAGTCATGTCCGACTCTATGTGACCCCATGGACTGAAGCACACCAGGCTTCCCTGTCCATCACCAAATCCTGGAGTTTGCTCAAACTCATGTCCATTGAGTCGGTGATACCATCCATCCATCTCACCCTCTGTCATCCCCTTCTCCTCTCGCCTTCAATATTTCCCAGCATCAGGGTCTTTTCCAATGAGTCAATTCTTCACATCAGGTGGCCAAAGTATTGGAGCTTCAGCATCAGCCCTTCCAATGAATACTCAGGACTGATTTTCTTTAGGATTGACTGGTTTGATAACCTTGCAGTCCAAGGGACTCTCAGGAGTCTTCTCCAGGACCACAGTTCAAAAGCATCAACTCTTGCATTAATGACATCAACCAGTCCAATGAACTATTTTCCCTGTATTACGCACAGAACAGAAATGACAATTAAATTCTGATTCCCTGTCAATGCACAGTCCCAGTCCTCATGTATTATGTGAGTTCTCCAAAGTAGGAACTAGAAAAGCTAGAGACTTAGGCACTCTCCAAGATGACTCAGAACATTTTACCAATTGTTGTTTCTAGCCTATCTAGAATTTGTTACAGCTTTCCCTAAAGTTCAAATTTTTTCTTTCCCACTTCCCATCTTCCAATCGTTAAGATTACTTCTGGGAGAAATAAGGGAGAAGTCGAAAGGAGGAAGAAAAGAAGAAAAAAGGAAGACTGAGACGGCTGGAAATTTTTGTTGTTTTCTTTTGCTTTTACATTAGATATTAATTTTTTTTTGAAGCATAGTTAGTTTACAACGCTGTGTTAGTTAAAGTGCATTGAAAGTGATATATAATATGCATTAATTTTTTGATTCTTTTCCATTATAGGTTATTAAAAGATATTGAGTATAGTTCCCTGTGCTATACAGTAGATCATGTTGTTTACCTATTTTGTAGATAGTGGTGTATACATATTAATCACAAATTCCTAATATATCTCCCTGGCCCTGCTGTCCCCTGTAGTAAGCAGAAGTTTGTTTTCTAGGTCCATGAGTCTACTTCTAGTTTGTAAATAAATTCTTTTGTATCTTTTTTTAGATTCCACATATAAGTGAAATCATATGATATTTGTTTTCTTTGCCTGACTTCACTTAATATGATAATCTCTAATTCCATTCATGTTGCTGCAAGTGACATTATTTTTTATGGCCAAGTAGTGTGTGTGTGTGTGTGTGTGTGTGTGTGTATACACCTTCTTTATCCATTCATCCAGTAATGTACATCTAGGTTGCTTCCATGTCGAGGCTATTGTAAATAGGTGCTGCCGTGAACATTGGGGTGCATGTATTTTTTCAAATAAGAGTTTTTTCTGGATATATGCCAAGGAGAGGGGTTTTGTTTTGTTTACAAATTATTTCTTTGTACTTTTGATTATGGGATTGGGAAAGGTACATTTGGGCAGAGAGGGGTAAGGACTGGTCAAGCAGGAGAAATGTTGCCAATTCCAAACATTTTTGTTTTCATGAGATAAACAGACTAGAACAGAATTTGGCCACAGAAAGGAGTTGTTGAAATCTTTGCAGCCAGAAATGAGGTAGCATTGAAGCTCAGTCTGGCTGTCCCCAGCAGATGCTGGGCCCGCACTCATGGGGTGGGAGGGAAGCAGTCACGCTGCTGGTCTTGCTGCATCCCTGTGAGGGGCAACTCTGACCCAGACAAAAGCTGATTGTTTTTATGCCAGACCAGAGGGCATCAAGTATGAGAGGATCTGGTAGCAGCCCTTGGGGAAGCTTAGTGAGTTCAAATGCATGCCCAATTCAGTCGCTCAGCCTTTTCCAACTCTTTGCGACCCCATGGACTGCAGCACGCCAGGCTTCCCTGTCCATCACCAGCTCCCAGAGCTTGCTCAAACTCATGTCCATTGAGTCAGTGATGCCATCCAGTCATCTCATCCTCTGTCATCCCCTTCTTCTCCTGACTTCAATCTTTCCCAGCGTTAGGGTCTTTTGCAATGAGTCAGTTCTTCACATCAGGTGGCAAAAGTATTGGAGCTTCGGCTTCAGCGTCAGTCCTTCCAATGAATATTTAGGACTGATTTCCTTTAGGATTGACTGGTTGGATCTCTTTGCAGTCCAAGGGACTCTCAAGAGTCTTCTCCAACACCACAGTTCAAAAGCATCAGCTCTTCGGCACTCAGCTTTCTTCATGATCCAACTCTCAATCCATGCATGACTACTGGAAAAACCATAGCTTTGACTAGACAAAACTCTGTCAGCAAAGTAATATCTCTGCTTTTTAACATTCTGTCTAGGTTTGTCATAGCCTTTCTTCCAAGGAGCAAGCATCTTTTAATTTCATGACTGCAGTCACCATCTGCAGTGATTTTGGAGCCCAAGAAAAGAAAGTCTCTCACTGTTTCCATTATTTCCCCATCTATTTTCCATGAAGTAATGGGACCAGATGCCATGACCTTAGTTTTTTCAATGTTGAGTTTTAATACATGCTCAGAGACACTGTACTCAAACCTTGGAGATACCCAAAGATGAGTTTCTCTGATCCCATAGTATGAGGAGCAGATTGTGCCTTCTTCTCTCATGATGATGCAGAGCTTTTCCCTTGTTTTTTTGAGCTGCTGCAGTCTCCATCTGTGATGGTTAATTTCAAGTGTCAAGTTGACTTGGCCATGGTGCCCAGAGAGATGATCAAACAGTATTCTGGATATTTCTGTGAGGGTCTTTCATTGGGTGGGACCAATGTTTAAATCAGTGAATTTTGAGTCAAGCAGATTGTTCTTCATAATATGGGTGGGCCTCATCCAACCAGTTAAAAATCTCAACAGAACCAAGACTAATCGCCCTCTCTGCCAACAAAAGAAAGAATTCTACCAGCAGATGGCCTTTGGACTTAAAATACAACATTGGTTCTTCTTAGGTCTCCAGAGTGACAGCTCATTCTGCAGATTATGGACTTGCCAGCCTCTATGACTAGAGAGGGGCTTCCCTGGTGGCTCAGAGGTTAAAGCATCTGCCTGCATCTGCCTTTGTCTGCCTGGAATGCGGGAGACCTGGGTTCGATCCCTGGGTCGGGAAGATCCCCTGGAAAAGGAAATGGCAACCCACTCCAGTATCCTTGCCTGGCAAATCCCATGGATGGAGGAGCCTGTTGGGCTACAGTCCATGGGGTCACAAAGAGTCAGACACGACTGAGCGAATGACCAGAGAAGGCTTTTCCTTAAAACAAACCCCCCACCCCAACAACCGCTTCATACATACAAACACACATACTAGTGGTTCTGTTTCTATGGAAAACACTGACTAATACACTAATACAACCTTCTTCGTTTTTGTGGACAGAGCAGAGCAAGACCTGGGAAATAAGCATTCTACTGAGTGTTAACACAACTCCATTCCTTTCCTGTATTACAGAAGACATACTAAATTGAGTGTACCTCATCTTTGAATGCCTTCATTTCCAAGAGTGCAAAACTACTCTGAAACAGTAATGACCATACACCAAATAAATCTAGGATAGAAAAAAAAATTATTTGAAAATATAAGCTATGATTATTAATGAAGGAAAACAAATCCCCCCACCCCCCCCCAACTATAATTTATTAGGAGAAAGCAGAAAAAAAGCAGTAAAGCTTCTAGTTTTAGAAATCTAAAGCAATCTAGAGATTGAAAATACAAAAATAAACCTGAGATAAGTTTCTAAGCCTCTGATTTGTGTCCATTTAGCCTAAAGGAAGAAAGATATGAATATTTTCGCTCTCTCCCACAAATGCATATTTAATCTTTATCTAAACATCCTGAATTTTGAGCCCATCAGGAGCTTCCACAGTCAATGCAGATTGCTTTCCCAGTGTTCTGTCATGTATTAAGAAAGCTATTTTAAAGCCCAGAATTAATGGTGACATCTTGTTGCAGTTATTTATTCCTTGTTTTGCTTTCCCAAGTTAATCGACCTACAGTTGAATTATTACAAGATCTCAGCATAAGGGCCTAAGGAGTGGATTTGGTGAAATGAAGAGGTCACAGTTCACAAAACCGCATGGGACATAAAAATGTACTGTATTTTTGCAGCTGCCTAATGTTTTTGGTTTTCCTGGCTCTTTATCAGGAATGTGTGAAGCGCTTGACTGTGAATATACAGCTCTCTGCTTCATCCTCCTTGGCTTCTAGCAGACTAGAAGCTCCTGCCTGCTCTCTAGATCAAAACTTATCCAGCTTCAAGTACACACAGATTCCCCAGGGTATCTTGTTAAACTGCTGATTCTGACTCATGGGGTCAGGGTGAGACTGGAGCCTCTGCATTCCCTCACACTTTCCAGAAACTTTGATGTAGCTGGTCCACAGAACATACTTTGTATATCTAGCACCACACTGTCTAATATGGTAACCACTAGCCACACATGGCTATTTGAGCACTTGAAACGTGGCTAGAATGAATAAATGCCTACTCTCCATATAAAATGCATGCCTAGATTTTGAAGATTCAATAGGAAAAATAGACAAAATGTCTCATGAATAATTTCATCTTAAGAACATCTTGAAATAACATTTTAGAAATATGGGATTAAATGAAACATACTATTAAGCTACTTCCACCTGTTCCTTGTTACATTTTTTAAATGGAGTTACTAGAGAATTTAAAATTACATCTATTGTTTGCACATATGGCTAGCATGACATTTCCATTGGATAATGCTGTTCCAGATCAACAGAGCTGGCCCTAGAGGTATTTGTAAGAGAGTGAGTTTCCTATTCCTTTGATCACTTTTTGCTAGGCACTGAATCCATCTCCTTAACTCCTTAGAACTTTCTCCTGTAGTGTTGTCTCTCAGCTCCTGCCCACACATTCTAAAGTCAATCCCAATGCTGCTTGGCCATCTTGGGCCCTGTCTGTTAGACTGTATACTCCCTAGCAAAGCCTAGCCAAAAATGACACAGAAACTCTCCCCCAAATTAATTAATGGGGCTCTCCTTTGTGTTCCCCAAAAGTCTGTGACACATACACATACATACATGTCTGTGACACATAGCATTCATAAAAGACCAAGTCTCTCAACAAAAAGGGCATGGGCTTTAGAGTCAAGAGACCCTGGAGTTTAATTTGATCAATTTATTACTTAACTTATAGTCTACCCCATGCCTCTCTTTTAGATGCTAGGGATTCATGAATTAACAAAGTTAGCATATTCTCTGTCCTAAAGAGATTACAGTTTAGAAGAGAAAACAGACATTGTCAGAAAGTACATGAAGAAGCAGATTACAAAATACCATCCCAACTTCTCCTTTTTTTTTTTTCTTCTGTGACTATTCATTTCCCTTTCTGAGCCTCAGTTTAATTTTTGGAATAGGAATAATAACAATGCTTTCTGAGGTTTTGTAAGGATTATAAACAATGATTATATTTGTATAGCTAGCATAATGTCTGGCACAGAATAAGTGTTCAACGAACAGTTGCTG